TGGCTGGATGCTGGCAGGCTTGCACCTGGCACGGGCACCATAGCCAGACCGTGCCCCTTTAAGGGCTCCGGGGCCAGGAGGGGGGCAGAAGAGTTTCCCTGGTGGTGCCCAGAGTGGCCACCAGGGCAAGCTGGGGAGGGCTAGCCTCCCACTAGTTCGAATTAAGTGGCTACACAGCCCTTAATTTGAACTACTTAATTCGAACTAGGCGTTAGTCCTCGTAGAACAAGGTTTATCTAGTTCGAATTAAGCGCTCCGCTAGTTCGAATTAAGTTCAAACTAGCGGTTTGTATGTGTAGCGCCTATCAAAGTTAATTCGAACTAACATCTGTTAGTTCGAATTAACTTTGTAGTGTAGACATAACCTTAGATAGTGAATGGGGGAGGAAAGACATAGGGGGAGGAAAGACATAGATTCACACACAGAAGTTTAACCAAACCACCAAAACAAAGAAAAATGCTCTGATCGCGACTAAATACACATTTTTCCTTTATTTATTCATGATCCCTTCCTGGTTCAGTCCACTTCCATGCCCAATATTCCTTGTAGGCATGGTAATTCTGCTTACTGAATGTTGCTCCCTAAAGCCCTTAACATAGAAGTCACACAAAAGGAAGATCAGACCAGGTATCTAAATACAATTCAAATATCAGCTCTGTATCCCATTGGTTCTTCTGGCCCCCTGCCAGCCCTCTTGCTAGCTACCTGAGTTTAACCTTTAATCACTGAGTGCTAGCCAGCACTCCTCCTATTAATGACAACACCTATAGACGGTTTTAAAAACACACACACACACACGTACGTGTATGTACGTACATGTATACAGGGCGTCTCCACTATAAGTCGCCCTGGTATACATCCATTCCGCACTAAAGTCATTGACACTTGTAGGAACTGATGCATTTTAAGTCCCCACATTCCCTGTTCTTAAGTTGTGCAAAAAACCCCTAAAACGCAAAAAAAAAAAAAAAAAAAACCACCACCCAATTTGTGCAAATGGAAGTCAGCCGTGGGAAAAACATTCCCCGCTTTAAGTTGTTTCGTTATAAGTTCAAGTTTTTTAGAATGTATCTTGGACTTATAGCGAGGACGGCCGGTAATATTTTGTGTTAGTATTGGTGCTGCACATAAGAAATTTCAATCTGCCCCCCAAAAAATATAACCCACCCAAGAATAGCAAGTATTAGCAGGAACACTGCTCAGGAGCCCAGTCTGAATCATGATGAGCTTGAGCTGATGGCCAGACATCCATGTGAAGACGTCAGAGATTTCAGTTTGGACAAAGAGACAAGTGAGGTGTCAGTCCAGAGAGGGTAACTGAATTTATGTTTGCAGATAAAATTAACCAGAGATAAGATGGAGACAAGAAGGGGTGTCAAGGACAGGGCCCGGGGGGAGGGAAATCAGCATAATAATCCAATGTGAGATTTTATAAATGAATCCAGGACTTAAACACAGCAATAAAATTACCTTCTCTGCTGTCTGAAAATACTGCTTCACAAGGTCTTCCACTCTCAGGGTCACCCCCTCTGAAGCAGGCCTGCTAACGAGCTTTCCAAAATTAACCTCATCTTCTAGAAAAGAGATATATATTAAAATAATCTATTTATAATAATCCAATGTGAGATTTTATAAATGAATCCAGGACTTAAACACAGCAATAAAATTACCTTCTCTGCTGTCTGAAAATACTGCTTCACAAGGTCTTCCACTCTCAGGGTCACCCCCTCTGAAGCAGGCCTGCTAACGAGCTTTCCAAAATTAACCTCATCTTCTAGAAAAGAGATATATATTAAAATAATCTATTTTTATCTTCACACATCAATTTAGGTGTTATAAACGACTAAGACCACCTTGATTCATTGTAATACAAAAGTTAATGAAAATTAAAACATTATTGAAAATAAGTTTCCTGCAAAAGTGCTGGCCATCAGTCAAGGAATTGTTCTTTAAATATCCAGTTAATACTCTATTCTTTCCGCTACAATAATATACAAATATGTCCAAAGAGAATTCCACTTGTAACAAGCATAAATAATAAAAACCCTTTCACTCTCCTAAATGCCTGGAAAAATACAGGGATTGAGCAACAAAAATTGGGCTCTGTCAGATCAAAAGGAGAACAATTTCCAAAATCCAAGGCCTCCCATAGAAAATACAGTATCAGTAGTTCCCTCTCTTTTATACTGAAGGAACTTCAGCTCAAATATCTTTGCCGATTTCAAATATAACAAGAGGAGAAATAGTGTCTCATGTAGGTAGGTCCTAAAAGCTTGCATTTAATGCCCTACAGCTGGGGTGTCCAAACTTTTTTCAAAGAGGGCCAGATTTAATCAAGTGAACATGCATGAGGGCCAACCATTTTGCCTGACATTCTTTGAACCATTAAAATTAAATGCAAATTAACTATTTTATGCAAAGTTTATTGCAAACGGCATACTTTTCATTTCGTCACATGGATGACAAATCTAAACAGGTGTTAAATCACTCTGCCTTTCATATCTGAAGGCCAGATGAAAAAAAAAATCCAGGAAGCTGAAATATATGTCAGGAACATTGTAAAGTACATTACATATTATTGGTAATAAAGGTTGTCTGTCAACTTTTAAGTTCAAAAAATATGAACAGGAACATAACACCAAGTATACATGTTGTGTCCAAATATATTTATAACTGATTTAGACCAACTGACTTTAACTGAGATTTTACAATGTATTCATCTCAATACATATGGATTCATTGGGGGCCATAAAAGATAGATATTGCCAAATTACCCGTGGGGCCGTATTAAACCGGAACACGGGCCGCAATTGACCCGCGGGCCAGACTTTGGACATGCCTGCCTTAGATCATCAAAAATGTTTTTGCTGGCATAGCATATTTTGTCTGGGAAACATATATAAGCAATACCAGCAAACACACACACTGGCAGGTATAAGCTATGCCCATGACTTGCTGGTACAGCTCTTCCAAAGCCATGTCCTGTAGGCAAAGGTTTAGGCCTTGTGAATACTATGCTGTTCTGTTGCCAAACAGTGGAGGTGTACACACTGCAGTGGTCCTTCCGCTCACAAAACTTTCCTGCTTTGCTATCAAAATAAAACTACCTCAATAAGAGTTGTAAAACCTTTTCCAGCTAAGTTATATTGACAAAGAATCAGTGTAGACACCACATTTGTTACACTGCAGTAACTGACCTCCAAGAGGTATCCCACAATACCCTCTGTTCTTTTGCTTATAAGAAGCACACAAGTTCTTTTTAGAGAAAAGGTAATGCTCTGTGTTCATTGAGGACATAATACAGAAATCAGCACACGTGCACGCTTTCTCTCTTTCTTGCTCTCGTTCTCTCTCTTTCTGTCTGTCCTACCAACAATGTTATAGTTACCCATCAGAGGTTCAGACTAACCTAAATTGCAACCAATTATTTACATAAGTGTTCATTTTTAAGTTGTTTTCTTGTTTTTTGAACATTTGTGCTTTTAGAGAGTTGTCCCCTGGAGATTTTATCTTTCTTGTTTGTTCCTAAGGGTTTGGGGCTCTTGCTTCACCTCTAGGCTTGTTGATTTGCTATAATGACTGGATAATATACGTAACCTTCCAGTGCCTTTGAGATCCCTGCTCCCTCTTGGTACATCTGCACCTAGAAATGACCTTCACACTTATCTAATTAACACATACATTCTTCACTCATACCAAAACACTATCACTACAAAGTACAAAACTGTCTGTAATTACAAATTACAACATTGTATAACATTGTTTACTTACGTTAACAAACGTTATATCATGTGCTGACTGTAATCTGACATTAGGACTGTACTGATCTGGTCCTTAACATCAATAACAGACACAGGCAGCCTGTCTGATGTATCTTTACTAGCAGCACTGAGGCTGTTCCTTTCTGCTAATCAGAATTCACCAGCCATGGCAGGTGCCCCATCAGTAATAATCCCAGTAACTTTGTTCCAAGGCAGTTTCATGTCATCTATGGCGGAACTAACAGAAACAAATAAATCTTTTCCTCTTGTTTGGTCCGTAAGGCTCTGGAGGTCAAGTAGCTCTTCAGTCACATTCATTTCATCGTCCACCCCTCTCATAAAAATCAGCAACTGAGCTGTGTCAGATAGGTCCGTGCTTTCATCACAGGCTATTGAAAAGAAGTCAAAATCCACTCCTTTGGATGTCAACTGTCTCTTAATATCTGATGAAATCTCTTCAATTCTCCGTGCTACAGTGTTACGAGCCAGGCAAATGTTGGCAAACTCTTGCTTCTTCTCGGGACAGATATTCTCAACCATTTTCATAACGCATTCTTTGATAAAGTCACCCTCAGCAAAAGATTTGCAATTTTTAGCAATTAACGTTGCCACCTCATAGCTCGCCCTTGTGGCATTTTCATTTGACTCACGGGCTCTTATGAAAAATCGCTGTTGTGACATTAAAACAGCTTCAAGTTGCTTCAACTTTTCACTGCGGTCGCGCCCTGTTAGCTTGTCGTATGTGCTATGTCTCGACTGGTAGTGTCTCTTGACATTAAATTCCTTATAAACAGCCACAGTCTCTTAGCATATCAGACAAACACAGTGATTCCGTATTTCAGTGAAGAAATATTCCACTTTCCACCTGTCCTGGAAGCGGCGGCCCTCACTGTCAACTTTCCTTCTCTTATTTACAGTCGCCAGTTTTGAAATTGACCAGAAGGGGAAGGGATCACGTGAGCGCAGTGCCAGAGGTTTTGGTCTAAGTGTGTTCGTCCGAGCACTAATACACTGCCCAACAAGAATTCTCTTGCCTTTGTGGCTGTGTGTGGTGAAGAGTCTAAGGATGAGCTCGGGCGTATTCGCAGCTCCACGTGCCCGAGCCCGCCAAAAAGCTGACAGCACACAGCGCCAATCACAGGTACTGAGACATTTCCCAATCTCTGCAGCTGTGGACCGGGAAAATGTCTCAGTACCTGTGATTAGCGCTGCGCGCTGTCAGCTTCCCGGCGGGTTCGGGTACGTGGAGCTGCGAACACTCCCGAGCTCATCCTTAGTTCTGAGCGGTGCTCGGGGATTCGTTGGGGGCCATAAGAGATAGATATTGCCAAATTACCTGTGGGGCCGTATTAAACCGGAACACGGGCCGCAATTGGCCCACGGGCCGGACTTTGGACATGCCTGCCCTACAGGTTAAAAACTATGCTTTGTACTCCACTCAGACACTAACAGCCAGTCAGACACCAGAGCACTGGTGTAACATGCTCCCAACATGAAGCTCTGCATAATAAATGAGTCATAACATTCTTCATTAGCTTGAGTTTGGTTAGAACATTGCAATAATCCTATGAAAGTAAGGATAATTGGCAAAGTCCATATCAAACAGAAAAGGCCACATGCTTTCTACTAGGCATAAAAGGAAAAAGTAATCTTGGCAACATTCTCTGAGCATCCATAAGCACAGGACTTAGTAATATATTTAAATTTGTGTCACCCCCCCCCCCATGCTTTATGAAAATTAGCTTATGAATAAGAATATACATACCTCAAAGATGTTTTAGGCAAAATGCCTAAAATGATGCCATCACATGACTTTTTTAAAGTTACATTTATAAATAAAGTATATTTAATCACATACAAGAATGATTTGTGCATGTAATGTTAGAAATATAAAGTGTGAATCTGTTTATAAATCTAGATGTGCTAATGAGGGCCATTAGTGATACTCTGGAAACATAATGGCTCAGTATTCAAACCAATGACTTGTGAATAGTCTTATTTTTCTCATAAGCCTGACATGAGGTTAGTCCTGCCAGGCTATGGCCAAGCCATCTGGTGCTAGAAAACATTTTGGATCCTGTACTTTTCTACTCAAGGTAAGAAAAATTTGAACTAAACACAAAGGATTCCTGCCTTGGGCAAAAGGGATATAAAAGGTGAGAAACCAAAAATAGGGGCAGATGCCAAGAGACCCACTCACTCTTACCACCCAAGATGTGTGCTGGAAGTATCTAAGACTGAACAGGGGAAAGACTGGACCTAAGCCAGGAGGCTGCCTAGCTAGTAGAAATGATATTAGAGCTACTATTGGGCGTAATAATCTGCATATAAATGTAGTAAGTTGAGGGTCAGTAACATGGAGTCAGCAGACCTAAATAGAGGCCTGTAACATGCAAACAGCAGCTGGCCTGCAATCTAGTGACCAAGACTTTGGTTTAGTAACACAGGAGCCAAGAAAGAGGCCCTATTGATTGTGTAAGTTAGGTAGAGCATGAATGGACATAGGGAGGCACCAGGTCAGACTGTAAGCCAAAAGGGGAGTAGCAGAACATCTTAGTAAGGAATGTCTTGGTACAAAGACTTTGCAAAAACTAACGTACATACTGACCTAGGTTCAGGACCGGGTCGAAACTGACAGCATGAAGGACAGTAAGTAAGCCCCCTTTTCACAATGTGAGGGGTGGTAAGTAGGCAACAGAGGGTGGTAACATGGTACATAAAGAAATGATGTACGTTGTTTGTATCTGTCTATAAAAGGGCACCGCAAATTATGCACACTGGCCAACCTTGGAGGGGAGGAGGAGGAGGGATATATACACTAGGCACCTGAAACGGCAGGTGTCATTGCCTAGACTTACATGCTGTGTCTAGACTGGCAAGTTTTTCCGCAAAAGCAGCTGCTTTTGCAGAAAAACTTGCCAGCTGTCTACACTGGCCGCTTGAATTTCTGCAAGAACACTGACGATCTCATGTAAGAAATCAGTGCTTCTTGCGGAAATACCATGCTGCTCCCGTTCGGGCAAAAGTCCTTTCGGGCAAAAGGGCCAGTGTAGACAGCTCAGATGTGTTTTGCGCAAAAGAGCTCCGATCGCGAAAATGGCGATCAGGGCTTTCTTGCGCAAAACCCCATCAATATTGGCACGGACGCTTTTCTGCAAAAAGTGCTTTTGCGGAAAAGCATCCGTGCCAATCTAGATGTTCTTTTCCGCAAATGCTTTTAACGGAAAACATTTCCGTTAAAAGCATTTGCGGAAAATCATGCCAGTCTAGACGTAGCCACAGAGTGCACAATGGCTTAACTCTGACTCACCGCTGTTAATATCTGTTATACGGCAATAGGCCTGCTGTGTGTTGGTAGCTTGTCAACGCGGGCCAAATGCACAGTGGTGCAGGATTGTAGAATCTCTGCTACCAACTGTTAGAGCATCACACTTGACAATAAACCTGTTCGATTGATTTGAACCTTGCCTGAATCTGTCGTTTCTGGGGGCTTAGTTAGCGTGTTTTGTTTTATTTTTTGCTTGGTAACTTACTTCAATCTGTCTGTTATCACTTGCAATCACTTAAACCCTACTTTTTATATTTAAATTACTTTTATTTATTAACAATTGTTTACACTGTATTTGATAACTGAAAGGTGTGTGTGGGGAGCCATAGCTGTGCATTTCTGCCTTTCATTGTTAAAGAGCAAACCTTATGATATTTCTCAGTGTAAGAGATTTATTTGGGGTTTTGGTCCCTTTTGAGGGCAATGCACCTGTATTCCTGTCTAGGCTCTATAACTCAGCCCTCCCAGAGCTGATTCAGCTCCTCTTTTGCTCTGAAAAAGGGGGGCAGTAACCCCAACTCTATGCCTTTGCTGTGGGAGACCAGAGCTTCTGATCTAGCAGGACAGGGTGGTGGGGAGCCCCAGAGGACAGGTAGGCAGGCAGGCTCAGTGCTATGATCAACTCACTGGCCTCAAGAAGATCTCGGTGATCCAACCTGGCATTTGGGGTCCATCTTATCAACAGTGGAACATTATGAAGTCCCACCAAAGCACTGGTAGAACAATCAGCTGGTAATCAATATTCTCTGTCAAAGCTGCCTTTCAATTCCAACTTTCAATTCCAAGTCAAACACAAGATCCAGAGTGTGCATGGATTGCTGGGGACCAGTGAGGAGAAGGAGGGCCACTCATGCAGTCCACTGCCTATTTTTGGTTGCCCATCGCTGTTCTATAGACACCAAGAATTAATCAACTTCACCTATTACAGCATCACGACAGCAGAGTAACCTAATACTCAGGTCTTTTCCATTGGGAAATGCTATAGCAACAGCACTAGTCAAGTCCTATCTCTGATCTGACACACACAACGTGAACACCTTCATCAGCTCTAGCCTTGTAATGGAAAATCTACATCTGAGGTCAGATATATAGAGCTCTGTGAAGATACAAAATCTGTATCCACATAAATGAGCCATGGATATGAATATAGATACCCGCAGATATAAAGTGGGTATTTACAAATTTGCATGATTCTTGATACAAATTTTGTATCTGCATCCACCAAAATAAGTCGCAGATATCAACAGATATCCATGGATATAAAAGCAGATATCTGGGGCTTTGCAAGGTTCTAGGGATGTTAAATTTCGAGTAATTTGCAAATTGTATCAACTATTCAATTAGTCGATAGAGCACCTCCACCTCTGAAGTGTAGAAACAGTCCTAAGGCTGTTGCTACATTTCAAAGGTAAAAGCGCCGTGGGGAGCATGGGGCCAGTGAGATAGTCCTCTGCTAGCCCTGTGCTCCCCGCGGTGTTTCAAAACAGCAGCTTTGCATGGAGCCCAGGGTCAGCTGGGGACTCCCCCGCTGACTCTGGGCTTCAAGCGGCACTGCTGCTTTGAAAAGCCACGGGGAACACAGCATCAGGTTCCACGCAGCACTGCCACTTTGAAGTACCCCCTCTTCTTTCCCACCCCCCCTGCTGTAGGGTTCTACAGATATAAAAACTCCAGGGCTATATCTACAATGGTCAGTCTTGCGCAAGAACATATGCAAATGAGGGATGACAACGAATACTTAATGAGCTGCCATTTTGCACAAGGGGCTTTTGTGCAAGAAGGAGCAGTGTAGACTGCTCCTTCTTGCGCAACAGCCCTTTGCCTCATACTGCTGCACCTCATTTGCATATGTTCTTGCGCGAGACTGGCCAGTGTAGACATAGCCCACC